CTTTTACTCTTTATATGGTGTTTGTTTCTTATTTTCAAGGTTTCCTTTATTTTTTCTTTTTGTGAAGGTGTATATTTTACCCCTTTGTCCCCAAAAATTAATTTAGACTTTTTTTTCCCTGTAATTAAAAAAAAATCTTGTGGTGTTACCCTAATACAAAACAAGTTCAAAACAAATTTCACCAAGGTGAAATTAAAGTATATCATATTTAACTGTATTRTACTGCAATGCTTCAATTCACACTGTATCATGTTGTCTGCAGTATTTATTTATACTGTATGGCATCTGATCAAACTGTATTGAAATGTATTGTACTGCATCWGATTGTGTTGAATCTCATCAAACTRCATTGTACAAAAATATTTTTTTTCATGTTTGWACAGAYTCTGTATTAACATGTTTTGGATCTWATTAAATTGCATTACATCACTTCAAAGTAAATTGTAATATATTGATTTACATCATATAGTTTTTCTTTTGTAATATACCACACTATATTGTATTCTGTTGTGTTACGTCCTATCAAATGGCATTGCGTTTTATTTTCTCTTTGTATTGCATCACATTGCTTGGTGTCTTATCTTATTGTATTGTTTCCTAATTGCATTGTATTGTGTCACATTGTATTGTACCGTAACACATTGTGTTGTAATATCACATTTTATTGTTTCACAGGACATTAAACTGATTTTATTGTGGTGTATTGTACAAAATATTTTATTACATTGTAACAAAGTGCACAAGATCATATTCTGTTGCAATGTTTGACCCTTTATTGTAAAAATGATGGATTTACTTTAAACCTGGCTGAGCTCATTCTTTGTTGCAATTGTTTTTGGGAGCCTTTAACTAAAACAGCTATAAATCCCCACTTTTCTACTTACAGCATCCCTTCAAACCGTAAATACTGAGGGGACTACACAGCCACACACATAGRCACTTTGAAATTTCTGCTTTGAACTCAGACAGAATTATTACAAAGCCCAGTCAGGGATACACATAGATGCTACTGTCGCATAGGTGTCTGGTGAATAATTCTATTAGTAGATAAGTGAGACAGAGGAGGGAGGCTCTTAATAAAAGTATTTGTAATGAAAAAGAGGAGCTTCACCATTTTGATTTTTGACAGGTGGATTTCTGCAGGGGAGATGCTCTTTCTGTGTTAAATGGAGACAAAACGAATATTCAAAAAAAAAATTTCTGTCTGAAGTGCAGCATAGATTTTTTTTCTTGCTTTCCCCAGACCACTAAAGCTCCCTGCCTTGTCTGTTAAAGTGTTCAGTACAAAACAGCTTCCCAGATCGACATAAAACACATTGTCAAAGATGAAGAARTAAGAACATCTCAAAAGCTCCTGTGAGACGTTTTGTTGTTAAAAGTGACATAAACAAAATACCCTGAACAGGATTTTATTCAAAATATMGATTATGAAACATGTTTCCATTTTCAGTTTATCACTTTTAAATCTTATATTAATGAAATAATGGTTCGATTTCTAAATCAATCACTTTTTTTTTTACTAAAAGCCTCCACATTACCACACTGAAACATAATTTTACAGCACAGTTGCAAAGGGTGGGCTTGAAATTTTTTCATCTGAGTCCAGGAGTAATTAAAGTTAAGGGTCCCTACCCTGCACATATGGTGCAATCGCACCTCCCAGCCCGCCTGTTTCTCTGGTGCAACTGATATGGTCAGGAGCCTCAGTGGCAGTTAAACCACAAAATGACCCATAACACAGACAGTGCACTTTTAGTTCATTCTGGTATCAGATACCGCAAAAAATAGGAACTAGTCTCCTTTTAGCACATGATTACACGCGGTGGGCCAAACTGCTGCTTTTGCAATTGAATGAGTCTTAAACAGATTTATTCTGTGTTAATAAAAACRAATCAGCCTTTTGTTTTTATTATTTTTTGACTTGGTAGAAGAAGTACACATTTATTTTATATAATAATTGTTGTAATTAAACACATAAAACCTTTTTTTTCTTTTTGGCCTAAAAAGTTCAAACCTGCAAATATAGTTAAATTCCACACTTAGTAGATCATGTACAAAATGCTACTCTGGGGTTAAAACAGGTTTTGCCTGCACTGTATCTCATGCAAAACTTCCCCAACACATGCAAATTTGACTACAGGTATGATGTATCTGCAACAAGGGAAGACAGAAATAAAAGTAAAATAAAATAAAATGCAAAGCAACTGTGACAAACAAATATTTGACATCCATGCTGTTTTCTGTTGAGAGATTCTTGCTTTTAAGCAGTAGGAAAAGAAAGCTGTCTCTAGCAACAGGCGAGGAAGTTGTCAGAGTCACAACATGTCAAATATTAATAACAGCATAGCATCTGTGTGGAGCTGAATAAAGCGACTCTCTGCTCTCCTCCTCCTCTCACTGGGTGGAAACACACAGAAACATCATCTTGTAAAAAAAAAAARGCAGCAGCYGTCCTGCACGGTCACAGCAAAGCCGTCTTACCTGCCTGCGTGTCTGTGGATTCTTCCTGCTCTCGGTCTGTCTCTATGGGTGTAAGCACGCTCTCACACACACACACACACACACACACATACACACATATATAAAGACACACAAGCCCTTCCAACAGGAACTGATGAATCTGCACGACTTCAGCCCTGCAGCGTGCAGTGCATTATGGGGTTTCGCTCTGTCTTTCCTCCTCTCTCTCACTCCTGGCACGGTGTTAGAGGGGGGATGTCCTCACCTCCTGTCTAGAGAGAGGAGGGCAAACTCTCTCTCTCTCTGTCTCTCTCTCTCTCTCACACACACACACACACACACACACACACAC